GGGCTGACCTGGCAGCATGATACAGTATGGCAAGGCTCCCTAGGACTTCTACAAGTTGTACCAGGGCTTTCATTTTAGGTTCTAGCATGAACGACGCAAGCAACTTCAGGAGGCTTACATCACGTTCTGTGGTTATGCTACCGCTGTGAAAAACATGGTTCAGGTCATCAGGTAATTACCATGACATTTCCCATGAGGACCGAGTATTCTGTCCTTTGCTGTAATGAGGCGCGTAATGGGACTGGTGAAACAGTCCGAGTTGGCCTGCGACATGGTCCTCAGTAGTACACTCAAGCATGATACTTAGTACTATACTCCACATAGATTTGTCCAGCAGCAGAAAGATTCGTTGAATAGATCTAGGCGATGCAATGCGAGGCCTTATGGTAAACGAGATGGTACTTGTGGCACCTGGACTTTTGAAAGAGCGTGGCTGTGTAGTCACAAATAACTACAAAGGGTATGCATAGCCACCGAGCGCTCTCCTTCTCGTCGAGCAAAAGCCGAAGAATTCAAGCCCCAGAGAAGCTCATGGAGAGATGATTCTGGAAAATATCATGCCAACGATTTTTTATGGGCCCCGGCAGAAATTCACAGCTTACCATTGGATCCCTGGACTCCTTTCCGTAAAAACGAGCCAACAACCGCTGATATCCGTGTTTTCGAGACGAAAAGATCCAGAGAGATGCTGGGATCGTGTTCATCGTGTGCTATACATTAATTTACATCGTCAAGGGATGTATAGGCCGTCGGTGGTCTGATAATTGTGGTGCAAAAGCCGGCATTAGAACGGGCGAGCCTCATCTGGTGCTGTTTTGTTGAATCAGGGTCCCACAATGTTGAACCTGTCCTTGGAAGATATGGGAAATGAATGGTTGGAGGGGAAACCAGGAGATGAGGCCAATCGTGATTGCCAAACTGCCGAAATGGCGCGTGCGAACCAAAGCTAACCTGAGATTCGTTGTCAACCAGAATCCAGGAGTCCAATGGCTTAGAAAATTACACGTCTATTTTCACGAATCATTTGAGCATCTTTTTCCACGCTTCAGGATGGATAGCGGGAAAATTGGTGAAATGGCGAATCGTGCCAAAAAGCGGGTTTGTGGGCGGTGTATCAACGACTTTGTCTCATTCAGTCTAGCACATTGCGTGCACCTGTCTGCAAGACATTAACGAGATACCCTTGAGTCAAGGAGAAGAGTGTTGCGGTCCATTGTGTTACATTTTTGTCCAATGTTGACAATGCACTCGTTGTTGACTCGTTGAGCAATGGCCATGAAGAGCAGAACCAGAATAAGTAATTACCATTTTGTATCGTTCCGGATAATAATCCGACAATCCAGAAGTCGCATTCGTAACCAAGTCGAGCTGTAACGAAAACTGAACCTTGCAACTGGTTCGCAGATTTGAAGCAAGATAACCGGAATTTCGTGGTCTCAGTAGCTGCCGTGCATCGATAAAATGATGCTTGAGCGGTCGCCGAATTTTTACCATGAGGTTTGTGGCCAGAATGACCTTGCCATTATGATGGAGGTTCAGGAAAGGCTGTGACAGCCACATGGTCACGGGCGCTTAAAGCTTGTAAGGAAGGAATATGGTGCCCATTCGTCAAGACCTACAAATTCGTCTATATTGACTACTGAGACGTATAAGGTAAAGGCCTTGTAGTCTAGGAAGCAATGATGAGCCCTAGGCGTCTTGTTCGTCCCAGAGATGACGGTATGTCAAGCTCCTACAAGCCTCAAAGAGAGATCGGCTAAAAAAACGGAAAAGGATTGTTGCTGCTCCAATGAATGTCCAACAAACATGAGATCTTCTTCCAGTGGTTTTCGTCTTCCTGTTACTGCCTTTCGGCTATGGCCATGACACGACCAGTGGACAGAAGCCTTCTGTCCACTGGTCAGAAGGTCTGGAGATAAATCAAGTCAACAAGATGAAATGTGACACAAATAGATAATACCTTGTACATGAGCTCTTAATCCAGAATTCCGAAAGTTTTCCGAAGAGGGCTTCTCCCGAGCTCTGATTGCAATCTTTGTCGGGCTCTCATCATCTTTCTCTCTTCGCACTCCTTTTCTATTTTCATCCAGGATCACTTGCCATTGCTGTACGACGTCCGAAGAATGGAATCGAGGAGTATGTCGTACGGTTGAGTCGCTCCAGATGAAATTTAGGAGGATGAGGTAAGGATATGTAAATCCAAGAATTCAAGAGGATACAAGCGATTTCGGATGCCTCTGATATCGAAGGAAGCACCCACGAGCTGTCTCTCGAATACTCGACCAGTTGGATCCTGGAAAGGAGAGCAATCGCTTTGGGAAAGAGATGCCGATTGGGAAATGGAAGAGGAATCGTCATATAGGGAATGAAAAGACATGTTGATTTTGGATGAAGAGCGACTCGTGGAAGAAAGGAGATAGGGTTTTGGAAGAATAAATATCTTTGCGGATTCTGACTGCGGCCTTTCTTGTCATCACCTTTTTTCTTCCCGCTCATCTCGTCTCTTTCATCCTTCCCTCCGCATCCTTGCTCTTCTCATTCTTCTCCCCAACTGTTTTCCTGGTTCCATTGTCGTACGAGCTCCCACGAATGGAATGAGCTGCAAAGTGCGATGAAGTAGAGCAGTCTGCGGCGTCTGAACCGACGATATGGAGGGTCGCGAAGAAGTAGAAAGTGATTTCGCTGTCGTGGTCATCATCTGAGACCACAAAGGAAGGATATCGTCGGGATAAGGAGATGGTGGTTTGCGATGAAAAGACCAGTCGATTTGCAAAAGCCGGGGAATGGTTGAGCGCTTCTCTGTCTTTTCCAGTCCTCTCGTCTGGAGGTCGCAAATCTCCGCTCTTCGTCTCGTCAAATGTCGAATCCGTCGGTTGCCGGTTCTTTTCCAGTGGCCGGATGTACGACAGAGCCGCTCGTGAGAGCTCTCGTGCGCCGGGTAGAAATGGGTGGCTCCCAAAGTAGCTTGGTGACAACAATTGCGCTGATTTTCCAATGTTTCGCTGCCAAAACAGCATTTCTTGTTCGTTTTATTCTCATCCATGAGCTTCAGCTGAATCCTCAGCGAGAATCCCCATCTCATTTGAGGCAATAATTCCTTGAGATTTTGAACAGAGCCAGAAGACGTTGGGATGTCCAGGACGATGGGTCTGGAATGGAGCGGTGAAAGGATTTGAAAAGAGACCGAAATCGACGATGACAGCAATGTTTGCGGATGCCAGAGAGGAATTAGAATGACAAGCAAAACATGAATGACGAAGCTTACCCCGAGAAGCAGCAGCAACTGGGGATACAAGGCGACGAAGGCCAGCGAGGCTAGAGGGACAAGGCAGCGTCAGCAAAGAGAAACGATGTACAAACATGGCGCTTACTTCTCCATCTCACAAAGCCTGAGCTCCAAAAAGGTGAAGGACATTCGAGTTGTTCTGAATAAAATTGGTTTGGCCTTTTAACGGCAACTCAGGTATCATGCGAGCCTTTATGCAGCATTAGCTTCAACGATATCGGCATGGTGGAAGAGTCTGCATACCGAAGGGCATTCTGTCGGTCATGGTTTTTGGCTTCTCTCTTTCTCCTCGTTCAGCCATTTGGTTTTTCGACCTATGAAGCCTCTCACGGGTTCAATCTTGCACTGAATATCAGCTAGGATTCAAAAAATGAAGGAGATGGCGTAGCTTACGAGAAATATATGATCGGACAGAATACTGTAGATGCAGGCAATGCAAAAGAGAGAATTCAGCAGAACTACAAGAGACTGGCTCGTCAATGGCGAAAGTAGCAACACGAAGCCGGCAAACCTGTGATTCTATAAACAGAATTCGTGTCAACCATCGAGCTCGACGTATAGGTATTCCAGCACCGAATGGGCTGGTGCCGATAATGCGAGATATTTTTTTGTGATGGGCTTAGCCAGGGGAATGAGTCAAGCCATCTGCCAAGGGGAAGGGGCTGAGGAAGCGACCAGCTCAGAGGAAACCGTTCAGAGAATTGTCGAGGTGATGGAGGATGGTGGCTCCGAGAAAAAAGCTCAAATTTGATCGTGTTTGTTCGGCTTTGGTCAAAGACGGCTGGGACGGAACATTCCGCCGGCTGATCGATCGAGTTGTTCAAGACTTTCTCTCGATGGATAGCACGCTGGAGACGGTTATGGAAAGGTGAAGAACGGACTGAAGCTCGAACTAAGCTTCAAGTCCCTTCTTCATGATATTTCTGGTACTCAGATAACTTAGCATATATTATTTTCGATTGTGGCGTCGTACAACCAATTTGAGATGCAATCTATGAATTCCGACATGATGTAAACACAATTCCTACTTTATTCCAGGTCATCCAACTCAGCCCATGGAGAGCGCTCTTCCACATCCGCAAAGTCACGCTCCTCAAGCGTGAAAGCATCGCGGGCCTCAACATTGATATATATTCCGTGAGTCCCAAGCTCGAGATATCGGATGGTAGCTCATTCAATCTTCCAGGACAATGTCGGTGGCGAATGTTTGGAAGTAGCAGTTGAAGGCTCAACCCTCGGGGAGTGTTTGATCATGTGTGGTCATGTCTCTCAGTATGGTATTCCACCCGAGAGCCTACAACGAGTCAGGGTAAGCCTTCAGTGCCCAGAAATTGAACTAGGTGCTAACGAAAATCAGAATACTGATCTCATATTCCAACGCCGCCTCATTTTAAACGGATATCTCGTCCCAGACACGATGCTACGGCTGCTTTCGAAATTCTTGGAGGAGATACCTCCCCTATTGGCAGGTGGGAAATTGAAATTATCATTGGGAAACGGCACCTCCGGCATTGGTGAAGATGTTGATTGGAGACGAGGCGGCAGGCAAACCTGTCGTTATGGTGTAGAATTCGAAGGCTGTGTGTGGGTTAGAGCTGAATATATGCGCACAAAATTGAACCGCGAGTGCTGCTGGATTATTTGGATCCACCAGGACTTGATTCAGGTTCTGAAGAATGCTTTCCGGCAGCAAAATGAACGGGAATAAAAACTTTGGATACATTGGGAATTGAACCCAACACCTCTCGCAGAAGTCATATAGGACGTAATGTGCATGCTAAGCGAGCGTGATAACCAACTACACCATGTACCCTACGGAGTGAATTCCTCGCCGTCATGTTGTTAACCTGGGTTGATTCCATAGATAGTCCAGATTCAGTTGATTTTCAAGCTCTTCACCCCCAAAAGACTCCTGGACTCAATCCAGTCAGAGGCCCCAGGGTGACTTACCAGCAACTCGATACCCTCTAATCCAACTCGGTAACCATTCCAGTGGCCTCATTGTCTCCAGTTCAGATCACGACAATATATGAGCCCTCGTATAGCTGCACCTTGGATGGGACTCTGCCGCAAGGAAGTGTGAGGATGACAACGCCATCAATAGTAGTCCAAATATACTTACACTGCGTTGGGAACAAATAAAATCAGACGAAAAATGATGGGAAAAACAGTTAGAAAAACATTATATTTCTCGCCGCCACCATACGGGTCGGATACCGGGACAAAATTTGGCTGAGGCGTGAAACTGAATATTTTTCGTATCCACCTTTTTTCGTCTGATTTTTTTTTGTTCCCAATGCAGTGTTACTCTGGATACCAATGATGGCAAGATGTTCACCCGTGAGTAAGTAGTCCATTTTTGGAAATGACCAGCGTGCCAAATCATGATGTCAACTTGATTTCCCGTGCACTTGCGCAAGCAGACGTTACCGAGTTTTTTGATGAAGACATTGCATGCAGGTGAGCTCCGATGTCGGTTCGGAATTTCTGGAAAGATCGGATACCCAATGCTCAAGTGAGATCAATGCCCCAGGGAATGTCGATCGGGTTCCTCATAAACAGTCTTGATCATCTTCTCGGCTTTCAATAAAGACAGATCAAGAATTCGACAGATTAATGTATCGTTCCCGTGTCAACTGAAACCAATTCCATTCCTCTATTTTGAGCACGGCACAGATGGAATTGTGCGATTGACAGATGGTGGGAGCGATCTTGAACTCGTTCATGGGGCTCTTTTGACTTTCCTCCCATCGCCGTTGAACTTTAACTTTCGCCTTCCTTTGCTCCCCGTTCCCTTGCTCATTTCTTTTACGCAAAATGTTCTTTTTCCTCTTTATGCTCATGTAATTCCAGCTATGAAAGCAATTCTGCGTGTGTGCTGACTGCCTTATAGCTGTCAGTTCCTGCCACCCTTGACAACAGGACTTTCAATTCAAGTCAACGATACTCTGGTTGTCCACTCGCCACTTGTTTGCCACTGGAAAGCCGACGACAGCGATCCGGATTCATTCGTCATATCTTGGGGCGCGTTGAATACAAACGCAGTGTCGCAGTCGGTGCATAGAAAAGACAAAGGGAGTGGAGATCAACCTCTGCCGCCCGTATCGCTTCTGGGGTGCGTGGCCATCGGAATAAAGGGGTTGATATACTCACCTTGAGAATCTCTAGACTGCATACCATGTCGGCCGTTTCTGGCAGGTATGGTATTCATTTGCATTTCTGTGATGCTCATTCCTGTCCAGCAATTCCAAACAAGTACTCGACCGCCTCCAATTTAACGTCGTCACATCAACAGTTCAGTTCGTCATTGCAAATTCCCTTGGAGAACCTAGACTAAGTTCCGCCAGAGCCCTTTCACAAACGTTCGCTACTCCTTCAAGCACACAAGTCCCGACACCGACACCGTGAATCTCTTGTACCCATTTCGTTTTGTGACTGAATGAGTTCACAGATCGGACTCCGTACCGTTCGAAATTTCCAGGTAACCCATAGGGAGTTGTAGACTCTCTTCAGCCTCTGAATTCATTACAGCTCTGATCCCTCGACGACTATCATTACCCTCGGTTCGCCGTCGAGTGACGCTGAGACGAATCTGACAATGTAGGTTCTGGCTTGTGTTCTCTGTTGATTGCTGACATTATGGAGATTAGTACGACCAGCCAAACACGCACACCTGCTCGTTCTGAGTTTGTAGAATTCCGACCTAGCCTGAATATCTGCTGATCTTTCCTTGGCCGCAGATCTCAGACTGACAAACCGTCGATACCTGTGACTTCTAGTACATCGTAAGTTCTCCGAACTCTACAAGGCTCAGCTGACTCGATGATAGTAGTGCCACTTCCATCTCGGTGTCATCTAACACCAGCTCTACCACGTCAAGCAATCCTTCCAATGTCGGAGCCATCGTCGGAATCGTATTCGGTGTCCTCATTGGAGTCTTACTGATCATCGTCGGAGTCCTGCTTCTTCTTCGATCTCGAAGAAGGCGCAAGTCTGTGTCAGTATTCGACCAAGACCGTATGATTCGAGGGCTCCAACCATCATCGTACCATCAAAGGTCCTACGTCGATGCTCTCGAGCCATCCTTCTACGCCACTGGTCTCGAGATTCCACAAGATGGTTTATATCCACCAGAGAAGGAGCCAGAACTTCCAGAATACGGGTATACAGGAAGGATATCTCCCGGGCCCGAGAAGCGTGCGAGGGACAGGTAGAGAGTGCAATTATGAGAATGAAACTGGAAAGATACCAAGAATATTGACATTATTGTATATATTGATACTGTTTGAAGACTTCAATGTATGTGTGGAGCGGCGGCATCCAGTTTGCCTATTAATGCAGTGATGTGCAGTGATGACAGATGGATTTCTGCAAAGCTTGGTATCAAGATCCAGAGGTTTCGGTCTCGTGGAATCATTGCAGATCAGTGAGAACAAGTTGCCAACGGACAACTGCGCCGTTGTAGTTGAAGTACAGTCTCTTCAAGACCAAGTGCCTCCCTTTTGTCTCTGCCACTGAATGGCCTCTCGTTGAAGATGTTCATCGCACCCCAGGGTGAAAGCTTTGGGCTGCGACGACTGTGAAAGAATCTGGTCAAAGATGTTCATCAAACCACATTGTATCAGTTAATCATCTCTGGTTTGCATGATTGCCAGATACTAGATTTTACTGAGTATTGTTGAATCCCTGGAGCTTCCGTAGTTGGCGTGGGATGGCTTCAAGAAATATATATATTAAACGCTTCCACATCCATCGTTCAACTGTTACCTCGCTCTCCTTTCTCAGTATGCCTAAAGCTTCTGGCGTCTTTTTTGCGCTGAGGTAAGTCCAAGCTATCACATCTATCGCTCTTTCATGCGACTATTGCCAGATTTGTGCTACCATCATTGACGAAAGCGCTCACAATATCCGTTGACAATCCTGCAATCCTCAACTCGGTACTTCCCTGCCATTGGCAAGCCAACAGCAGCGATCCGGACCCTTTCATATTATTCTTGGGTGCGGTGAATACGAACTCAGTGTCGCAGCTAGTAAGAACAAAAGATGAAGCGAGTGGAGACCAAACCCTGCCGCCTGTGAATATCCTGGGGTATACAATGACAGCGAGTAGTACCAGGTATGTTCTTGGCCACCGAATACTTGGTCTCACATCAATTTTCTTCAGCAATCCCAGACAGATACTCGACCAAACTTCATATGAGGTCATCGTGGTGACGTTCCTGTGCGTTATGTTGTTTTGAATGGCAAGACCAGACTCAATTCCATATAGAGTCACTAGTCAGCCTATTGACAGTAGTTTGGACAGAAGAGCCTGCATTTTGCTTCGTCGTGATCCTGGACAACCGATTCAGGGGTCAGAAGCGGAGATCCAATAGATCATTTCTCTCCAATGAACGATGATGGACGATAACATTCAATGATACGACAGCTTGACGAGCATTATAGCTTGAAAACGCTTCGGAGTCTTATTATGGATCTGACTACTGCGGACGCTCTTCCAAGTGTCGAAAAATAAACTCACCCGGAGATATTTTGGTGGTGGGGAGCGTTGGGACTGTGGAGGAGGCGGTGGAGGCGGAGTTGTTGCGTGCGTGGCGCGGAGATGTCTGTCAGAATGCATCTAGTCCCTCAGAGCAAGCATCCCGGTGAAGAGAAGAACGGCGAAGATAGTATTGCGGGAGGTCAAAAGGGTAAGGTACGACACACGTAAATACGGCTTTATGTACAAGAAACCGTGTGAATAAGTACCGCGGATCCTACGATGACATGCCCGAAGAAACACGAGGCTTGAGCTCGCTCCGAAACCAGGCGGGAATAAATATTCCTCCTGACAATGTCGAGGGCGGAGATGTTTGGGTGCGTATGTCCGTGTATGTCCGTATGTCTGCGCGCCCGATCAGCGTCCATCTCAAGTCCATCTAGCACATGATCTCGGGTTCTATTTCTCGGTCTGCTTTCACGACACTGTTCTCTCCAAGTAGTCATCTTCCGCCAGTCAGTGACACTGATTGCGAAGCTCGTCATAACTGTTCCAAGGGTGTTATTCATCATCCAGAGCATATAGAGACGGCGGCGGAAGGGACGCAACCCGCACCAGATGAAGGAAGGAAACTTTTTTCACTTTCAAGGTTCTGGAGAAGCGGAAGGTAGCTCATGATTTTCATAATTCATATTCTCCAGTACCCAAATAAACTTGTAGAGATAGTGTCCTCTTACAATTGCCTATTTTTTAATGCAAGGGCTCACTCTCAGTAATGTATTATGGTCCATCTGGAGATGTACTTTCTTGGTATTTCTCCTCAGAGCACCAAAGGTAGCTGGGATTATCTGATATGTTATTTTCTGCATCTTGATCTTGGAGTTTAAAGAAGCACCACACAGTGGGCCCAGCGGCGGGCATCGGGTCCAGGAGGAGAACCCCCAGCCGTCACGGCCAGCACCCTAAAAGCCTCCATTATTTTTCTAACATAACATTATATTGTACACTGCTCTGGTCTTTCAATATAAGTGGAATCACTCAAATATGTCAGTCAATTTAAGAGACCCACATTGTGCAGCATTCAAGACAGCAATGCAGCAAGTTCGGCTCAGATCCTGATTAATGTTTTACCCAGAAGATTCTGAAATTTCACATACAGTCTCTCGTATTATGTGGTCAGCTTGGATGCAACAAACTATTATATTGAGCTAGATGTAACAGTATGTACAATGCCTATGACACAGTTACTTCATCAATATTGTACTCTCACGTGAGGTCATCAACTCACGACAGAGCTACATAGTCCTGTTGTAAGCGCCGTTAAAACCTTGTTA